ATCGGCACATAACTGAAACTATCCGGGCTCTTCTTATCGAAGCTTACCTTCCATCTTATTTATGGGCCGATACTCTTCTCACCGCCATCTACCTAATCAACCGCCTCCCGTCACCTACCATTCACAACAAATCTTTGGGTGTCTATGCTACCCATGGCTCAAACCTTATACCGCACACAAGTTCTCTCCACTATCTCATCCATGCGTTTTTATTGGATACGCGTCGGCTCAAAAAGGATATCGCTGCCTCGATCCTAACTCAAATTGGATCTACATCTCCCTCCATGTCGTCTTCAACGAAAATATCTTCCCATTTTCGCAAATATCTAACCCAACTCACGGTCAATAGTGGCGGTCAAACCATCGATATTTGATGAAATTCATGTAATGTATCACATACATGACAATAGCATTGTTAAACAAAACTAATAATAAAATAAACCGCCACAACTAAAATATACATTTTCACTAATAACACTGTTTCAGTTTTTAATAACACTTAAATGGTAAACTTAATTTTACATTAATAATAAACATGTGCAACATACTTCAAGCAACTTATGTTGGAATATGTGTTAGAAGCCGATGAACATATGATTGCTCCGTTCTTGGGAGGATATTGGACTATTAGTGACGTTATTAAATGAAATGACTCAACAATGGATCAAACAAATGCAAAAATCATGAAAATAGAGCTTTGACTATCAATCAAGAATTTTTGGATTCAAAGCTTATGTGTGATGTGTGTATGATTTTGACTTTGGTTTCGTTTGGGATAGCTTTGTTACTGCTTTACAAAGACGTTTTTTAATAAAAAAAAATTTATTTGAAATTTTTGTATTAAAAAATTACTTTGTAAAGCAGTACGAAAGCTCTCTCAATTCTCACAACTATGCCTACTTTTTGGATTACTTGGTGAATGCTAATGAAGACCAACTAGCATGGGCGTGAAAATCATGTGAATGGGCAATCAATGGCATCAATCATGGGTGCACTCTTAATGTAAAAGTATTGGATGAATTGATATCAAATCATACGTTAAGCACAATATTATTAGCTAGCCTACTTAATAGAGATTTTTATGATTAAATTTTGAGATCAAATTTGACGTAAATTAAATCTGTGCTTTAACATCTAATATTTCCACATTATATGCTTCTCATTATAAAGTTTTATCAATAATAGAAATTTATAAGAGATCTTAATATTTCTAACGAATGATGGTTAGATCTTTACATTTCAAATGAATGATATTGATAAAATCTTTTATGAAATTTGTGTAGAATTCATGTCCTCGGAATAAAAGAGAAATGAAAATAAAAATGTTATTTCTAAACCTATTCATTCCGTGTCTTAAAAAAAATTATTTGCTTTTAGAATTTCCTAATTAAGGCTTTGTTTGGGACGGTTTTCTTTTTGCTTCTTAAAGCCGCTTTCTAGTTCAAAAAAATTAACTTTTGTACTAAAAAGCTGCTTTAAGAAGCAGTTAAAAAGTTGTCCCAAACTAATCCTAAGACTTCGTTTGTGATAGCATTCTTTGAATTTTTGTACTAAAAAGCTATTTTAAGACGTAGTAAGAAAGTTGTTTATTTCAAATCACTTTATTTAAATATACAAATAACAAATTAGTATTTTTATAGCACATGCTTGATTGATTGATTGGCAAACTTTTTTGGCACGGTAGGCCGTACCCTTATAGAGTAGAAATGTAGAAGTAGAACTGGTTAGCCTCATGGGATTCAAAGAATTATTGCATTTGACCAGCATGTCATTAAAACATGTTTTTTTTTTTGTAGTGCTATGATCATGACATATATATATTATCATAGAAAAAACATTAGATTTTTAAATTCATAGAGCATCTTAAGATTAGTTAAATGCACCTCGTGGTTTATTGTTATCCATCTTTAGCTTCTCTTGGACAGACCATGTGATGATCTTTTGAACTTTTACATAGCTATTGAATATTCAAATGATCTCATGTACTCATCCAAAAGAGCACATGTTAAATACTATAAAGATGCTATTTACAGCACGATTAATATCCACCGTTGCTTAGCTCGTGTGGGAAAGAATCGCCTGAGCAAAGCCTAGGTCTCGGGTTCGATCCTCATGGGCGGCAGCGAAAGCCTTAAGTGTTGGCCCGGACTAATTGGTGTGGGTAGTCTGCTAGGTCGACCGGGGTTTATAACCCGCGAAGTGGGTTAGTTCCTCGTAAAAAAAAAAAAAAAAACAGCACGATTAATTGAAGGAAATGTCTCGTGCATTCAAATGAGAGATATATATTATTTTTAAAAAATCGAACAATTATTTTTTAAAAGCTACCATAGATGAGAACCGCTGTTTATAGAAGCAGTTGTCAACCACAGAAATTTTTGACAAATAATAAAAAAGCAATGAGAAAATAATAACTAATCATTTAATCTTTTTTAATCCATAAGTAATCTAAGCAATTATCATGATCACCAGCTAATTATTGACATCTTAAGGGAATATCCATATTTCATTTATTTAATTGCTAGAAATAAAATAAAATTAATTTTAATTTTTAAACTTTAATTAAAATTTTATCTTGATTCCTAATTTAGTATAAAAAATAAATAAGTATTAAATAAAATTAATGTTCAATTGATAATTTTTTTTATGCTCAAATATCATATCTAAAAACTCTTAAGAGTTTAATAAAGATTATTATAACTTTATTTAGTAACTAATTATCTAATATAAGTAGATATTAGCAACTGGTTGGATATGTTAAAAAAGAAATATTTAAATATGTATCGCACTATATATATATTACGGGCTAATTATATATGGCTATAGAGTTAAAATTCTACGTCTTAGCGCGTTGCACGGATATCCAGCTCACACATAGAGAACACAATATTTTTTAAGTGGAAAACCCAGGAAAGGGAAAAAATCACGGTGTCTAGCTTAGTTGAAAATGATTTCATTAGAATTCGAGTAAAGTACAATGATCTGACTTCTCCTTGAAGACGACCATATTACAAATGTCAACTGAAAGTTTCACAAAAGTCCAGTGTCACTCCAATGTCAGGTGGTGGTCCGACAGCCCTCTGCTGTCAAGCGGTGGTCCGGCAGTGACACTTCATTGTCAAGGGGAACTCCGACTTCGGGTGGCACTTCGACGTCCTTTGATGGTCAGCTAGTGGTGATTTGACAGAACTCCAGCATCAGAGTTCTACCGCACCACCGCTGGTGTTCTACCACACTACCATTGGCGGTGAATATGAAAGTTTAGGTGTTCGATATATAAATACATAAGATTCATGTGGTATATATGTAAATTCTCCTTAAAAATATGTATTTGTTCATTCTATTTAAAACTATTTTATTTTGTATTTTTAAAAGAAATCAAGTTATTTTTAAAATGTTTAAATGAACTCTTAGATGTTTTGAGTATTTTTAAAAACAAAATTTATTATCAACATTGCTACCATCAACCGCTACCACCGTCATTGCCTCGTTAGTCATTATTGTCGCCATACCACTTTTTGCAGCAATCTCCCCCGTTGTTATCTCATCAGTCATTATTGTTGCCCCACTAGTAATCACCATCACCATCTCATAAATAAATAAAAATAACAATGTATATATTAAATATCAAATATGTTTTATTTCATGTCATATGTTAAAAAAAAAAAAGTGATCCAAACGGCCCTAATAACATTGAATAATCTGATTTTTCTCTCTGAATCAATGTTACCTTGTTGAATCGATCATGACCACACATCATTCAGAAGCTTATCAGAACCGAAATGGTTCAGCATGTTTTAAATTCATTTTTAGCTGTTGGGTTGAATTGGTTAGTTAAGTCAGATGGAAAATAAAATATTTATCTCAGAAGAAAGTTATGCAAATGATCTGTTAAAGAAGTTCAAGATGGATAATTGTCAACCTATAAATACTCATATTAAATATAGAGTCAGGCTATCAAAGCATGATAAAAGGGAACAAATTTTTTATAATGTCAGTCTATCAGTTATCAGTCACTATGTGGAAATTGCAACTACCAATCACTTAAAGATCATCAAAAAAATCCTACACCATATCAAATATTCTATTGCCTTTGTCTTACGCTACTTCTTATTTAATGATTTCAGGCTTGTAGGATATAGCAATAATGATTGGGCTGACAATATGGACGATAGAAAGAGCACCACCAGTTATATATTTTTCATGGGAGATACTACTTTCACCTGAATCTCAAAGAAATAATTAATTGTCACTCTATCTACTTGTGAAGCAAAGTACGTAGCTACAATCTCATGTATTTGTCATGCAATTTAACTTCAAAATCTATTAAAACAATTAAATTTATCACAACAAGCTTAAGAAGCAATGAATTAGATTCATATTGATAACAAGTCTTCAATGACACTAACCAAAAATTCAATTTTTCATGATAGAGCAAAGCACATTGATACGCACTATCACTAGCTAAAACAGAGAATCTATTGCAAGGAAGTAAGTGCAAGTGGAATTTGTAATTAAGTATGAAGACTTTATCAAGCTAAAAAATTTGCTTGGAGTTTCAAAATAATATTTAAGAGGGAGGTATTAGAAATTTAACATAATTTTGGCTCATTGTTATTTGAAGCTTTTGATTGAAGCCATATTCTAAAATAATCTTTTATAGAAGATGCCCGAAGTACTTATTCGATCTAGAATAATTCTTAGAAAAGTTTAGAATAACATTTAATGTTATTTATGATAGCGGATAAAGTAGTATTCTAGAGAATTATTCATTTGTAAATATTTGATTGAAATATGTTGACACAATCCTAACAAGATATTACTAGCATTAATGGCGCCTTTGAGTTTGTATCAAACAAAAATGAGAAATAAAATTTATAGCCACCATCTTCTCTAATCTTCTTGGCCTATCTAATTAACATCTTTCATATTCTCTTTCCTCTTTAGCATTTTCTTGTTCTAAAAATTCCTCGGATCATTCTAACACAATATCTCCATCTTGATTAATAAAAAAATATTAATGACATTCCATAATATAAAGAAGATACACCAACAGCGATTATGGCATTACAAAACCAAAGCATGGTCCTGGCGGCCGGGCAACCGGCGGCATTATTAATCACATAAATATAATAAACAAACAACGCTTATTAACAACTGCAAAACAAATTACGAATGCATGTACGTATCAGCTAAGCTCTCAAGAAGAGAACTCAATACGAAGGCCGCCAACCTTCACCTTGTTCCCATTCGCACTCCTCGGCACCAACGTAACCACCACGCTGTCATCATCCTCAGCCCTAAGATCCTCAAGCAAATCCGTTATTCCAAGCCTCAAATTAGTCTTGATATCCTTCACCTTCTTAGCATGCCCATGCTTGTGCGACAAGTTCACGAAAGATCCTGCGAATTCACTTGCCGAAGGCCTCAGCTTATCCTCCTCCGGCGAGTTTATGTACACATCGAATTTCACGAACTCATGTCGGCTTACCACTATGTCTTCCACCAAAAGCACCTCCTCTTCATCATCCTTCTCCTTCTTGCTCCTCCCTCTCTTCGGCCTTTTCACCGTCACACTCACCGGCTTATCAAGCGTAATGGGGAACGCAGGAACCCCGATCACGGCCTGCGGTGACTTTTTCTTCAACAACTTATTCGTCGTCGCCTTAGCCGCCTTAGGAGTCGGGCGACTATTTAACCAAGGATTCTCCACCTCCTGGTATTTGTATCCCAAGGTCTCCGTTTCAAGGCAGTCCCTGATCTTCACCCTCACAAGCTGCGCGTTCTCGTCATAGAAGAGGAAAGAGGCGTCGAGCCAGTCAAGGTCCTTAAAGTCTCTCCGCTTGCCGCCGAGCGTCTTCCAGACTGACCAGAGGCGGTCAATATTGCCATGATGTGCGAAGAAGATAGGATCCCGCGCGGCGGAGTACAAGGTACCCATATCTTCATCGTTAGGATTGGCCGGATTCCCGGTCCAGACATGTACCGGCCCGTGTGGGGTTTGCTCAATGGATCCACTGCCGGGGCTGGGTTGGTCCCCGGCCCGGTACGGCGAGCCCATGAAGAGCTTCGCGTTCTTGCCATTGGATATCATTTGTCGGTACATGAGCTTGAGGTTATCGTCGATTAGCTCGTCTTTGGTGAAGCCGGGATGCGCGTTGCCGTCAAGGTCGATGGTGACGGGCGGTTGATGGCTGGGGTCGCGGTTGTTGTTGTAGAGGGAAGAGGACTTGTTGGTGTAGAAAGCTGGCATCACCATTCCGTCCGGGGAGTCCCAGTTCCAGAAGGGGATGGCGAAGTTATCGTCGCCGATGAGCTTGCCGAGGATGCGCTCGTGGAAGTAGAGGTAGTAGCGGTGCCAGGGGAAGAAAATCCACGAGTTGTGCACCTGGACGTACCGGCATGTCAACCATAATAGTTTAGTACTACGATCGATATTGCTAAGCGTCGTTTATTTATTGATTAAATAAGCTTAAATTAGTATTAATATGAATGTACTTATATTTTTAAAATTTTTTAACTAATCCATATTTTATTCCATATTCTAAAATAAATTCTACAAAATAAATATATTAAGAATTCGTTTGGGACGATTTTCTCACTATTTCTTAAATCAACTTTTTAGTTTAAAAATTTTAATTTTTAAACTAGAAATCTGCTTCAAACAGCAGAAGAAAGTCGTCCCAAACAAAACCTAAATTTATTTATTTATATATCACCTATAAATGAATAAATATAATCTGAAGTAAATGGTCAAAGTAGTCCTGCTGGCCTTAAATATTTACTTTTAATTCAAAGCATATATTTTTTTTCAATTTACCTTAGAAAAAAAAATATTTGATTGAATTATAAGAGCCTACCTGAATGTCAAGTTTGGGAAAGCCAATTTGGTCGTAAGCGCCATCGCAATAAGCACAGTGAACATTGGCTTGCTGCGTGAAGTTGCGGGGATCATCCGCCGGGAGAGCTCGCATAAGCTCCACAGCCTTTTGATACTTTTTCAAATACTCGCCGTCGACAAGCTGGGCGGCCGGGCGAACACGAAGCGGCCCGTTGCGGGGTGGCGGGACAAAGTCAATAATAGAGGAATTGAAGGGCGGACAGCAGTTGGTCGGAGTTCCACCGGCAGGGATTTCGGCAGGGCCGCACTTAGAGAGATCGGGGGCTTGAATGGGAGAGGCAATCGCCAGGCGGTGATCGGCGGCAAGGCTTGTTGCTGCGCCGTAGAGGCCGCCGAGGCTTATGAGAAGATCGCGCCGGCCGCCAATGGATTTGCTTTGTTGAATGTTGTTGTCATCTTTTTCATTAGATTTGCATGAGATGGTTTTGGGGAAATTGAAGGGATATTGTGATCTGTTGGCAGAAATGGAGTGGGTGGTGAAGGAGCTTGCAGAGGAGAGGAAGGAAGACAGGCTGGCCATGGTGGCTATTAATGTGGCTTAATTATGTAATTTCTTGTTTTATGAAAGGGTGATTAGCTGTGTATTTATAGGGTTGATTTGCAGCGTGTATAAAAAGAAAAAAGAAAAAGTGATGTGATAAATCTTGTTGCAATATTTGATTTGAAAACTTCCGGCGTTAATTTAGAAACATGCCAATTTCAACAAATTTACAATCGAACTGAACGTCTAGATGAGGTGAAGCTATTGATGCTATAATTGATCTGATATGACTCTAAATATGTTTTACATAAAAAATTCTGGCACGTAACAAGAAGGATATTAAAAAAAAAACAACTATAATGACCACAATGTAATTCCTTCAAGTTCATATTTTGAATTTTTTTCTATAAATCAGACTGAGCTTCTTATATGGTGGTGATGACTGAGAGCATAATATATAACAAGTCTCGCTGATGCTACGAATTGAAAAAAAAAACATAGAAGCACAAATTTTTATATGTAATTGTTTCTCTTACGACTCATTGTCACTACAGGAGATTCATCAAATACCTGCTGCATTTCCGACAGCTGAACGACAGCCTGAATTCCGGCAGTTATGCCGGCGGATTGGCTGCCTATAATAAGCGGCGGTTATACCGTGGGTTTGACCGCCGGTATTAGATATGTTCGACACTGTTAACGGCGGCTTGCTCACCGATTTTAAGTGACTTGTTTCTGGTGGCTAGAGTCGACGGTATGAGCCCTACTTCCTAGACCTGCTTCTTCCTCGATCATTTCAACGCGTCTGCTTCATTTCATTTCGTCCTAGAGAATGCCCTCTCGTCACTCTCATCACTGTAGCTCTAGCTAACCTTTAGCCCTAGTCGACGCTTGCCTTCATCTTCATCTCCTTAGACGCATGTAACCTCCTCTCCTTCCTTGCTGTTCTTCCTTGTATATTCCTTTCACTCCGATGTAGCCGTAGGAGTAATCAATTTTTACATGACTTGAGTTATGAATATGGTTTTACAAACTATATTAAATTTGTGATGATTTATTATGTCAAAAGCTTGAAGGTGAGTTTCCAATCTCTAGAGAGTATGCATGCTAGACGAAGAGATTATTTGTTATGACCTCTATGTGTTTTGCAAAATCTCCTAGATGAGTTTGATTAGTTCTAGTTGTTATAAGATTTGTGTAACATGAATCTTTGGAGTTCATTTGAATATGATTGCAAAATACCTCGGGTTGGATATGGTTTGTTGGAGTTCAAGGGATGCTTTGAAAGGTTTATGGTTAGATGTAATCAACCAAGGTTGACCAAGAGCCATGACCATGGAGGAAAACACGCTATTATCGGAAAAAGTGGTGGTCAATGCCGCCGAAGATTTCCAGTGGGTCTCTTGTGGTGTACGCATCAGTAATTTCCAGTGGCTACATCCCCGAAAAGTCACCTGAAATAAATAGCTGGTTTCAGTTTCCTACGCGATTTTTATCGGTGGTAAAATACATGTCGGTAATGAACGATTTTCTTATAGTATATAACTCCGTATAACTTTACTCCAAAGTGAATTATTCTGCAAACAACAATGTGTTGCAGAATCAACATTACCATCAACATCAAAACTCAAAAGGCATTACTTCACCATTGAATAATAGTGCATCAATGTGAGATACACATTAAAGAATGCCATGTATTTCATCTCCATCTAGCCAAAAAATATAATAAAACAGCAAACTTCCATGATGAATGATCCATCAATTTTTATAAACTTTCTTAACAAATTCAATAAACTAGTAAAATGTTTTACTCTTTATGAGAATCTCAGTCTCTAAAAAACCAAACATTAAATAGAATAGAGTAAGAACCACTCAAGTTATATCTAGAAATCCCTCTCCAGTTGAAGTTGCACTCTCTCTAGCTGCTATAAGCTTGAGCCAAAATTAAATGAAATCAGCGACCAGTAGCAATCCATAAAAAGTTAATCCTATTATTAAAACAAGAATGGTTAAAAAACATATTTGTACTAAGAATTGTATGCCTTCGAAGAAAAAATGATTATACGAAATATTGGCGTTATAAAATGATTTCATTTACAATATTATATTAAGGATATTTGCATATCTTCTGTAATCAATAAATCCAAATTCAGCGCTTAGTCCTGCTCGACTCTGCGATTTCACCAAATTCTTTTTTTTAATAATAAGTAAATGTTTTCATCAAATTCTAATTAATCAGAAAGTAATCGGCAAAAGGCTGCATCTCTTACTATACGTTCGGTCAAATAATAGATATAGACCATTCAAATATTTTCCAAATATTTCATATTTGGAGATTCTAAATCTAAAACTGTTATGAAATTGGAGGAAGAAGAAGCTACTTTTTGGCTGCAAGAAGAGACTTTCTTGCGAGAGAGAAAGAGGGAAGGAGGGAGGAGAGCGATAACATAAATTATTCTATTCCCTTATTATTGAGCTATTACAAGAGTGGGAAACATAGTGGAGTCAATATTTGATATGACCATAAAAACAGACTCGAACCTAACTCGAAAATTATGGGTTAAGATCAACATGTTTGCTAAACTGGTCGGGTTCGGGTTCAACAAACCGACCCATTTCAAAAATTGGGTCGGATTCGCGTTAACCCGGAACTCGAGAATGATCTGGAATGACCGAGCAAAAACGCATTGCCCGCGTTGTGTCAAGTTTCCCGCATCGCGTTTGCCGATGTAGTCTTCGTGTAGCATCGAGTCCTATTAACGACGCTGCTGCTGCTCAGCACCTGAATGAGAATGTGTATCCATAGGTCGGGTTCGGGTTGAAATATCTGACTCGTTTGTAAAAACGGGATGGGTTCGAATTGGATCAACTAGTGTTGGGTTAGTTCCAGGTTCGACCGATCTTAACAACCCTAGGGACATTGTTGCGGTGTCTTGTAGAACAACGTAGGTAAAATTAGACCAATACATTACAATATCCATCATAGTCTCATTTTATGATAAAAAAATATAGGTCGGTCTTGCGCGTGACCGGGATGTGCAATCTAATGGTGTTCGATCGGAGTGGCCTGGTGCAATCGGCGAGCGAGACCCCGAGGCTCTACCACAAAAGAACTAAATTGATCTTTAATCAAGAACATGTAAATCCGGTCTTCCAACCGGTCCAATGGTCTTGCGAGCTTCTACTTTAGACAACCGTGCCCATGCGCCCGTGTGGCAAACTCGAGCTTATGCATGACCTGCGCTTTTACTGTTGCATGTTCGGCTTGCTCCAGCTAGCAGACAACCTGTGCTCTGCTCCAGGCCGGCAACCCGAGGACAACTAGCTCCAGCCTCGCGCGTGTATGCCCACACCCCGCCCGTCCCGATCACGCGCACGACTCGTCTATTCGACATCCCTTTCTTGGATAAATTTCTTTCTCCACCTAGAGATTGCCTTAATGAGACTCTGATACCACTTGTTATGAAATTAGAGGAAGAAGAAGCTTCTTCTTCGTTGCAAGAACAAACTTTCTTGCAAGAGAGAGAGGGATAACATGAATTCTATGCATTTATTATTGAGCTATTATAAGAGGGGGACACATTACAACATCATATACATCCTACATATAGGAATCAGATACCATTGTGATTTGTGGAACATCGTAAGTAAAATCGGACCAATACATTACAGAAGCAAACAAGTTTTTTTCTTAAAAATTAGACCAAAGATTTACTTTATTTATTTAATTTGTTAGACTTCTGAAGTAGAGTGGTAACATGATCCCATCATTTGTTCTACAGTGAATGAAGATGAGAGCCCCTACTCCCTTCAATAGAAAACTGCCCATAAATCAAGCTTTATTGTATAATTTTTGTTTAAAAAATCCTTTAAAGCTATATGAATTGCTACAGAATATGCTACGCAGTTTTAATAGAGAAAAACTACATAAAAAAAACGAGCTTTCTTCTGTACTTTGTTCAAAGAGCTTTAAAACTTGACAATTGAGAGGTCTTTAGAATCAATAGCAAAGCATAGAGACTCATTAGCTAGCATCATACTTAGATATCACCAACAGCTGCTAAATAAAAAAAAAATTCACCTTTTTTCGTTCAACTTCTCGATTGATCTCTTCTGGAATTAATCAGATTCTAATTTAAAGGACTACAACTATCTTAAATTTTACAAACTGAATTCATAAATTCAATGACCATAGCTTTCTAGATCTGACTAAGGAATCAAATTCAGGATGTTTAATACATAAGGGGCCCATTTGTCCTTCAACCTAATCTTAGGATACTTAAACTTCATTTAAGACAACTTTTTTATTGCATTGTTATCAAAATTGTCATCACAATTTTTATTTAGTGACTATTTTTTTATTGTTTTAAAAAAAAATTTATGCTAGTTAAGTCATTTTCTATAGCATAATTAAGAAAAGTTACTTTCTTCAAAGCAACTTTACAACCACCACCTTTATAAAAAGGAGCAATCGTTCCAAACTGACCCTAAGATTTTATCTGTGACAACTTTTTTATTACTTTGATATTCAAATAGCAATCAAAGTTTTGTTTGGCTCTTTTTTGGTGGCTTTCAAGAATTTTTTGTGTTAGGAAATTGTTTTATAGTAGCTTTAGAATAATTACATTTTGTTTGGAAGAAACCACATAATAAAGAAAACAAGGAAAGAAACCAAAGGAGATGAAAACCAAGATTTCACGTGAAAAAAGTTACAAAGTCACAACACACCAAGAAATTCATTATGAAAATTGAGAGAAATTGTGCAAATCTCTTGCTCTCTCCTTATCTCACTTTACTTCACACTTAATTCTCTCCACAAAACATACCAAAAGATACTTTTCAATTACCCTAGGGACGCAACCCTTCAAATTAAGCATAAAAAACAAGAAAAAAAAAATGCTTAATCCGACTCGCAACACTGGGATTTAGAGCGCCACAATGCTCTACTATGTCTCTAAGCCACTCTGAAACGCTATGGTGCTGGCACCTAAAGCATTGCATCGCTTTGCTCTCTATCTCCAATCAGAGAGTACAACCCTACAGCGCTCAAGTATATA